CCCCCCGCCCCCCGTGCCTGGCAGGATGCAATCCTGTAAGGGCCATGCTTGCTGTTTGAGGAGTGCGGCTCTGGGGCAGGGAAGGGCCCTAGAACTGGGTACAGAGACAGTTGTGTGCAGTTTCAGGCAGGACCCTCTTTGGAAGGGTTTTGTTAAAGTGCTTTTTGCTTTGTTTTCCTTCTGACTGAGCACGAAACAGTTCAATCCAACAGGTAATTTACTAAGTGCTACAGAACTGGCCCTTTTAGGTGACAGGGCCCAGCAGTGGTCCAGACAAGGTTCCCCCTGAAGAAGCTTGCGTTCTAATAAGAAAACGAGAAGTGAGGAAAATCAGAAAATGGTTGTCACGGAGAATAAAAACCAGGTGATATGAGTGACTAGAGATTGTTGACCGGAGGGCCTCTCTGAAGAGGTGGCCTTCAGCCTGAGCAGGGGAAGAGGCTCACAGACAGAGGAGCTGGGTTAGGGTGGCCCTATCCCAGAGACAGGGCTGGCACGTCTGAGGAAGGCTCCCTCTGCCAGGCCCTGGGGGCCCACGCAGCTGACTGGTTACTCCCGGCGAGAAGCCTTGGAGTCAGGGGCCAAGGTGCTATCGCCCCCTTTCACACATCGGAATGAGGTGTTGCTCAGGTCCTACCGCCAGAAGGTGACAGAACTGCTAAGAGTTCACTTCCTTAATGTTACTGTGGCGGTGACTTTCATCGAGACACAGGGAGTCCCGTGATGCTGTCTGTGTTGCTGGCCAGACGGTCAGAAGTTCGCTAACGTGTGTTGGAAGGGGTTCTGCACATCCCTCTTGCAGGCAGGAGCGCGTCCTCTCTAACGCGGCTCTTCTGCCACAGTTCAGGTGGACGTTTTGATGGTGGACACTTTGGTCGTAGAAACGTGGAAGAAGGGAGCACTCACGAGGATCCATAGGACAGGAATGTTACTGATGTAGCTTTCTGCTGGCCTGGCTTTGGCCTACGCCGGGAGGCCAGCCGTGGGGGATTCTCTCTCAGAATGTACAAACGCACCCCCTGAAGAGGCGGGCCTGGGGCTACCTTTCTGCTGGGTTCAGTTGTGCGACTGCACTTTCTGTGTCTCCCGTGAGGGCACAGGGCATTTCTTCCGTGACACTTTTGGCCCTCTACCCGTCCTTACGTCCGCTCCAGGACCTAGTGTTATGGAATCACAGTTAGCTTTAACGCAGACTCGTTTGGGAGGGTGCCGCGCACAGGTTCGGGGGGCAGCGCCGAGCCCTGGCCTGGTGTCTTCATCAGCACCTGGGACCTCTGGTTCGGGCAGCGGCGTGCTCAGATGGAGAAGCCGAGGTCGGGCAGAGCTGCTCCTGACCTTGGGTCAGTGGCTTAAACTATTTGAGACTCGATCCTCCTCAGTGAGATAGGAGCGATAAAGCTGCTTCGGGTGGCTATCTGGGTTCTCATCGGCTAATTCCTCACGGAACCCGTGACGGCACGGCACGTGGAAATAGGCAGGAGGGGGTAGGATCCCTTGTGCTTACAGATGAGGAGCTGGGGTGCAGGCCGTGGGCTCCCTCCCTGGGAATTGTGTGGCATTTCCCTGTTCACGGAGTGGAGGCCCAGGCCGTGCACAGCCGGCTGCCGGTGCCCTGGGGAGCAGCCTGGGTGGAGAGCGGGGCACGCCTGGAGAAGAGGGGATGCCGAGGGGAACCCTGGGAATAGAGCAGAGGAGGGAGGCGTGGGTGCAGCGGCCCCAGGGAAGCTGTGTCCACAGGACTTGACGGTTGGCGAGGGCTGCTCCCGGGGGCCAGCGGGAGGAGTGCGGTCCAGGTGACATGAGCGGGAACAGAAGTCCCCGGTGCTGCTCTGCATGTCACGTGCCGGGCTGGCTCTCCTCCAGGGCCTCTTGGTTGCGTCTGTCCCGTGGACAGCTCGTGGTAAAGACACCCAGAAGAAAGACACAGTCAAGACAGGAAATGTGCTTGGTAGTATCGATGGAAGTGGGATAAAGTGATGAAATCCTCGAGTGCTCTTTTTTTTTTTTTTTT